GCCTGCTACGAGTTTGTCACTCGTATCAGCCACAGGTATAGCAACTCCAACAGGGCCATGTTCTGAAAGAAATATTTTAAAAAAATCATAGTATATTATCTGATCTTATAAATACACTAAACACAAATTATAAAATTTATAAATATTTATTTTAATACTGCCTATAATAAAGTCATTTATTTGAAATAAATAAATATATTTATCTATTTTGAAAATGATTTTCTTGTATATCAAATAAATATTTTTCATATCAAATAAATATTATTGGTTTCAAATAAATGATTTATTCGGCAATTTTGAAATAAATACTTATTCGAATTCAATAGATTTTTTTTAGTGTAATAATCATGATACATGTAAAAAAAGCATCTTACCTATATAAGCACTGGTTACAACACCTGTCGCAGGGTCCAGTCTACGTATATACTGATTATGTATATCGACAAAGTACAATTTTTGAGTTCGATGGTCCCAGTGAGGACCTTCGGAAAGGCCATAGGGTTCCGTCAGTCTCTCTACTTTCACAGCTTCACAGCTATAAATAAATAATTAGTGTTTGCTTATCTAAATAAAATTATATAGATGATTATCTAGCTGAAACTTTGGTGTCACCTTATCTTTATATAGATAGTAAAAATAATAATTTGAAAAATTGATTTAATTAAATAAGAAAATATTTTTAATAAATTAAATATTTTAATAAAAAATGATAATATAAGTATATTTTATGTAAATTATATAAAAATTTTTAATTTAAAATTATATCATTTGCCTTAATAATAATAAATAAGTTTGTGTAAAGTATCCTTAAAATATATATTCTTGTTTTAAAAATCATTATATGATAAAAACAAACTTATCACATTTGAACTAAAAATTATATATTTTTGAAAGTACCGCTTATATCCAATGCTTACTTGTCTCTTGTCTTTGCAATATTTATAAATAAATTTCAGCTTCAACAAGAATATTTTGCACTTTGTTTTAAGGATAAATTATCCTTTATCCAAAATTATTTGGCGCTATTATAAAAATAAAATATACTTGAATCAAGGCATTCTTTCAAGGATACTGTTTTTTTCTGTGCATCTAAGCACAACATTGTGAATACCCAGCAAACACCAAGTAACAATTATATAACTGTTAGTTATAATTTCCCACTCAACAATATAAATGCAATGTAACACGTGTTTATATTGCATTTATATGTTACAGTGGGAAATTATAACTAACAGCTTGGATAATGATACATCTAATTATTGCACGTTACAGCGGATAGCGCAAAATAGATGCATTTGACATTGTTTAAATAACATAATATCCTTCACACTCTCTTTCTTTATTATTTTATATATTTTTCTCGTAACTTTAATTAATAATTTAATATTGTATCCCCATTCCAGCAAACACCGATATATAATTGTTACATTGCTATAATAAAACGGAATATAACAGTTAATATAACGTGTACGTTACATGTAACATCCATGTTATTGTAATTTCCCACTCATAGATGTAACATTTTAATAGAACATATATTACATTGTAGTTATATTGTAATTATATACCAAATAGCACATTGATGTATTGATAAGTCAGTGCTATCTTGGGATATAATGACAATATAACTACAATGTAATATATGTATATTAAAAATGTTACATCTATGAGTGGGAAATCACACTAACATATACGTTACATGTAGCATGCTTAAGTATATAACATTTATATCGTGTTTGCTGGGATAATATATATAATGTAATCAATAAAACCCAGCAACACAGTATATAAATGTTATACTTAAGCATGTTACATGTAACGTATATGTTAGGTGTGATTTCCCACTCATAGATGTAACATTTTTAATATTACATATATTACATTATAGTATATTGTCATTATATCCCAAGATAGCACTGACTTATCAATACATCAATGTGCTATTTGGTATATATTACAATATAACTACAATGTATATATGTTACATCTATGAGTGGGAAATTACACTACATGGATGTTACATGTAACGTACACGTTATATTACCTGTTATATTCCGTTTTATTATAGCAATGTAACAATTATATATCGGTCTTTGCTGGGAAGTATCCTTACAATTAGCATTAATATAAACACAATAAATAACAGAACATGATATTAATCCAAATACAAAAGATTATAAAAACACAAACATAAATATGTCAGCAAATAAATAACAGCAAGTTCGTTACTTTCTAACTATATTTATATTCTTCGCATTTAAAAGCAATATATACATTAAAAAAAAAGAAAGAAAGAATTGCAAAAAAATTGCAGAAATGAGAATAAGTCTATTTTGCGGCGAACTTTTCTCTCTCACTTTTATCCTTTCTTCGCGCTTCATTAATTTTTATCGCGAAAAAAGTAAGATGTCGAAAGCCCGCGCAGATCTGTTAAAACGAATTGGAAATAAAGTTATATTTACCTTGTCATTGTGTCAGTTGCGATTGCGAGAAAAATCGAAAAATTAATCTGTCGGCAACGAAGCAACGCGTTTCGAAGAGAACGAACGACTGTTCAGAGTGAAGTGTTGATGTATTATTTTAACTCGCGCGCGGTGCGAGAAGGGATAATCGCTCGTAAACTAATAATTGCTCAATTTGCACGATTATGAGTAGCAGCAGATATCGCGAGAAGTCACGGATACGATCGTGTTGACTGGTCGACTATTTGTTGAACGCCGATAAAGCGGTACGGCGATAAAGCCGATACTTTTTCTCACCTTGGAGGGAAAGTTATCAATATATTGCGCTTCGCGTTATTTATTACATTACGTTGTAAAATTTCGAAAAAATTAATTTATAAATAACGACGGTATAATAGATATATTACAACACATTTTGAAACATATTTAGAAAAATTGTGAGGAATTTGTATTGCGAAATATAGTCTTCAAAGATGGAAATCTTAGAGAAATATGTAACTAAAAATTATATATAATAATATGCGTTTTTTTTTTAAATATATGATTTAATTTTTTTTCTTTAAATGAGTTAATAATATTATTTCAATATTACATTTAAAAAATATATTCTTTTTTACATCAGAGATACAAAATATTTTTAAATGTTTCTTATAATGATACTTTAAGGTGACATTAAGAATATTAAAATTTATATATATATAATATATATATATATATATAGCGTTTCTAAATAAGTGCAAAAAATTTTAAGAAATGATTCTTTGTCAAAAATTAAGGGGCGAGTTTTTCATATAAACATATACTCCAATAATTCTTTCCCGAGAAGTTACACTTCTTCAAAGGAGAAGGTGAAAATTAGATTTTATTTTTTTTCTTATAAAAACTATGGATTTTACGAAAAAAATAAAAGTAATAAAATTTCCAAAAAAATCAAGCTTTTTAATGCATATTTTTAGATAAACACATTCCAATCTATTAAAAAGTTCTAATAAAAAATTGTAGGGGTTATAGATGCATCCCTTATAACGATACGGGGAGATTCAAAAAAATATTAATAAATATCTTTTTTACTAGTAAAAAATAAATCCCACAAATTTCATTTTTTTAAGTCTCCAAAATTTGAAAAAAAATAAAAACTTAATTTTCACCTACCCTTTGAAAAAGTGTACTCTTTAAAAAGAAATGTAAAGAGAAATATATATTTATATGAAAAAACCCCTTTTAATTTTCAACAAAGAATCATTTCCTAAAAAATTTTTCGTTTTAGAAACTTATTTAAAAATACTCTATATATCATATAAATATTATATCTAGTAGATGTATGTATAAGGTATTATAACATATTATAACATTTTAATAAAACCCGGGAAAAAATTTTTTATATATAATAATATAAAATTATATAGAAAATAATATATAAAATTATACATATATATAATCGCAAAATTATATATGAATAAATATGTCCATACATAATTAGATAAAAGTACTTTTTATATAAATTATATAATTTATATATATGCATATATATAATAAGTATTTCTTCATATATATAAATATATATGTTTTATATATAATTTGACATGGTTATATAAACCCTTATAATTTATACCCAGCAAAACACCGATATACAGGATGTTAAGAAAGTGTCGCATACGCTCAGTACCATTCATAGAGAATGAAAATCTAAAAATAATGTCTAATACTATTTTTCGATCTGATGAAAATAATTTCACCGCAATTAATTATTGTAATCAGTCAATCAGCGCGAAGTTATAAGAGTAAGTCAAAGGCGGGGCGCGCGAAGTTAGCTGCGGCGCGGCGGCAACCGCGCTCACGTATGGTACGCAGTTTTACTTTTTCATAGCATAAACAATATTCCATTAATATAAAAAAATTAAATAATTAATTGCCTTATAAAATATAAATGAAATAAATTTATGTTAATACATAAAATAATTCGGTGAATTAAAATTATGTCGAGACAAAATAAAAATTCGAAATTATTATTATGTGGCGATATAATTTCAACTTATCGAATTTTTATTATGTGGCGATATAATAATAATTCCACGAAATAAAATTATATTGCGATATACAGATATTTCGGTGAATTAAAATTATGTCGAGACATAAAAATAATTCGATGAATTAAATTATTTCGAAACATAATAAAAATTTTGGATTATTTTATGTGGCGATATAATTCTAACTTAAAGAATTTTCATTATGCGGCGACATAATAATAATTCGATGAATTAAAGTTATATCGCGACATAAAGATATTTCGGTAAAATGAAATTACATCTAAACATAATAAAAGTTCGATAAACTAAAATTATGTTTGGGTATAAAAGTAACTCTCTATTCTTATTATGTATCGACATAATTTTAATTCATCAAAATTTTATTATGTGGCGACACAATAATAATTCGATGAATTAAAATAATATCACAACATAAAAATAATTCGGTGAATGAAATTATGTCGAGGCATAATAAGAAATTTGGAATTATTATTATGTCGCGATATAATTTTTACTTATCAAATTTTATTTTGTNATCTTCACCGCCAATCTGCACATCCAAGTCGATGAACTTTTTCTTGGCATGGTTAGCATACACTCTACTATCGTCCAATATGCATGTGACGTACCCTGCGCAGATTGCCATTTATTAAGTTTTAAAATTAATCTGAAGTAACGAATGAAAGAAGAAAATAATCAAAAAATTAATAGAGATATTACGATAAAGAAAGATTTTAATATATATAATAATAGAGTAAATTAAATTTGAAAATAATAAAACTAATAGAAAATTAAACAAAAAATTGAAATAATCAAATAGCAAAACAACATGTTGAAGTACAGTGGAAATAATAGCAACAAATGATAAAAAAATGATCATGTAACGTATTCTGCTACAAGATTGCATTTATTAAGTCTTAAAATTAGAATCTGGAGTAACAAAAAAAGAAAATAATAAAAAATAAATAATAAGATATTGTGATGGAGAAATATATATTATAAGATATAATCGAAATTAAATTTGAAAATAGAAGTAACAAGAAACTAAAAAATTGAAATAATAAAACAAGATATTAAAGTACAGTGAAAATAATAGCGAAAATGATGAAAATCCTCAATTAAGGGAGAAGAAACTTACGATAGGTAAATTCTAACAACTGATTGATCACTTTCGGTTCATAATCCGTTATTCCCATATCCTTCATGATTGACATGATGACCTGAGCGTCCTTAGGAATATGTTTAATGTGACTCATGGTTTTCGCCTTCTCTGACATACTTTGTTTCACCAAAATTAATTAAAATAATCTCTCTTCACTACCTTCCAGAGATCCGTTGCAGATATCGTAAACAGAGCATATTTCTGCGGTTATGTACGCGCTTGCAAGTCATAAACGCATAAATTTATGATGGCACTCATCGGGGAAAAGTAACGCTCAAACGTGATTGGTTCGCGGTCTTGTAAGACTCGACGCTGATTCGCTGCGAGCCAATCACGCGCGAGCGGCGCTTTGACGTTTCAAACGTCACTAGGGTCGCCAGAAATCTGTGGAGCGACTCGACTGCTATCTCATACAAACAGTACATTCGCGGCGTTACGACTCGTTCCTTCGCGTATGTGTTTCCGCTCTCCGGGAAATTCGCTGTCAATCCTCAAGCAATCGTTCGATGAAATTCAGCAAGATGAATATCACGTCAGCAGGTAAGCTGTCAAATGATCCTGTCGCTTCGAGCACGTCGTTTCTTTAATTGATCGCGCGAGGATTTTATTACATTTGCGCCAGTTTTGCTAATGATGATTTGCAAATCATGCGAGACTTAACCTTGAAAGCTTTCGATAATTTTGGAGCAATCGAAAAGGAAGATTGAAAAAAGTTTATTATTTATTTATTTAAGTTATTATTTGTTTAAGAAAAAAAATTATTAAATAAGAAGTGAATTAATGGTGCATTATTTGTTACTTTATGTTATTATTTATTTTTCCGTCACATTTATTGTGTATCATTTTTCTTACAGTTTTGTCATATTGCAAAGTAATCTATTTAACGCTAATAACAATATAATTCTGATATAAATGGAATTATTAATTTTTGCAGCTGGAATAATTTCCTTGTTGGAGGAGCCGATGCCAGAGTTGAAAGTGTTTGCTTTGAAGAAACTGGACATGATAGTCGACGAATTCTGGCCTGAGATTTCCGAGGCTATCGAGAAGATGTATGTTGGGAGCAAACAAATTGATTTATTCATTTTTCAAATGCTATTTATAGTATAATTTACATTATATATTCCATTCTGCTTGTTAATCTTTGTCTGAACACTGTGTTATTTTCACAGTGAGATCCTGCACGAGGACAAAGTGTTTCAACAACATGAATTGGCTGCTCTAGTAGCTAGCAAGGTGTATTATCATTTGGGTAGCTTCGAGGATTCACTGACTTATGCTTTGGGAGCAGGAGAGTTATTTGATGTCAATGCTAGAAACGAATATGTTGACACTACTATTGGTACGCAGAAATATTGTCAAATTTAAATTTAAATTTTAAGTCATTATGTTCTAATCATGCATTTTAATTTTTCAGCTAAGTGTATCGATTATTACACCCAGCAGCGTGTCTTGGAGGCAGAAGGAAAGCTTCCTCCAGGAAGCAAGGGTATTGATCCCAGATTGGAGGGAATAGTGAATCGAATGTTCCAACGTTGTCTGGATGACAATCAGTATCGTCAGGCCCTGGGCCTTGCTCTGGAGACCCGCAGGATGGACATATTTGAAGCAGCCATCATGCAGTCTGTGAGTATTAATTTCATTACTTTTTAATTGTCTATATAATTCAATATATAATAGTTCAATAATAATAGTTATAATAGTATATAATATATACAGGGTGTCCCATTTTAATGTTCCACCTTAAATAAGTTTTTTATTTTGATTGTAGAAAAATGTTTCAGACAAAAGTTTGTTGTATGGTTTCGAGGAGGACATAAGATGGTGCCATTAGTTTTACCTTGAATAGTTGCTTGAGGGTCATGTAAAGGCCACCTTTAATTTCTTAAATGGAACCACCTACTTTTCATTACATATTCTTGTAGCTGACATCGAGAGCTTTCCAAAACACTATAATGAAACATTTTTATCTCAAGTACTTTTTGAGTTATAAGACAAGATCTCCTTACCTGAAGGTGACCTTTACGTGACCTTCAACTATTCAAGGTCAAATTAAAATGGCACCACCTTATGTCCTCCTCGAAACCATACAATTTTTGTCTAAAACATTTTTTCTACAATCAAAAATAAAAAACTTATTTGGGGTGGGACATTAAAATGGAACTGTATAATATATAATCTATAATAATAATAGTTATAATAGTAATAATAGTTTTACGTTGATTTCGTGTACTAAATAAATTCTCTTAATAAAAAAATTACAAATGTATGAAGAAAAGTACAAAATTCCCTTTCTTTTTAGGACGACGTGAGCGGAATGTTAGCCTACGCTTCCTACGTAGCCATGAATCTGATTCAGAACCGTGGATTCCGCAATACTGTGCTCCGCTGCTTGGTCAATCTCTACCGGAACCTCGGCACCCCCGACTACGTCAACATGTGCCAGTGCCTCATCTTTCTGGACGATCCGCTGGCCGTGGCCGAACTCTTGGATCGACTGAGCAAGGGTTTGCAGGACTGCGTGCTGATGGCTTATCAGATCGCCTTCGACCTGTACGAATCTGCGACCCAGCAGTTTCTCGGTCGTGTCCTGCAAGCTTTGCGAGCGACCGCGCCTATTCCGGGCGCGCTGCTGGTTAAACCAGTGGTTAAACCAGCCGCGGCCACCACCACTGCCGCCAAGACTGCTGAAGACGGCGCGGAGACCACGAATATGGAGACCGATGAAGCCCCTGCGGCTCCCAATGGGGAAGAGAAGGCCCAACGCAGCGTCGAGAGTTTGGTGAGTATTATTTATTTACTAAAACTATTATTGAGAGTCAATTACTATTAGGTACTAGCTAATATTTTTCTCAATTATAGTTTGTGTTCTTTAAATGTGTTCTATTTTATAATTATGTTACATAAATACTGTGATATATAATATAATATTAATATTAATATATAATGAAAAATATATAAAAAATAAATAACAAATAATATAAATAATAAAAATATATAATGAAAAATTGTTTATGATATCTTCTTTTCGTAGAATGCGGAGGAGAGAGAACAGCAGGAGCGCGTGGACGCTCTATCTAGCATTTTGGGCGGCGAGGTATCCATTGATCTGCATCTGCAGTTCTTGATTCGCAGCAATCATACTGATATGCTCATCCTGAAGAATACCAAGGACGCGATACGAGTTTCGATTTGCCATACTGCCACCGTAATCGCGAATGCCTTTATGCATTCCGGGACGACCAGCGATCAATTTTTGAGGTATCTATTTTTTTAATATTTTAATTTTTCGTGATTGTTAATTTATTTTTATTTTAAGATACAAAAATATGGAGAGACTGAAATGTTATTAATTTTTTGAAAACTTTATTTTTAAAATTTGATAATTTTGAAAAAGTAAAGTATAAGAAAAAATTTAGAATTTTGAATAAATTTTAATTTTTAATTGTATTTTTCAGGGATAATCTAGAGTGGCTAGCGCGAGCCACTAATTGGGCGAAATTGACCGCGACAGCTTCTCTGGGAGTAATTCACCGGGGACACGAGCAAGAAGCTTTAGCTCTCATGCAATCTTACTTGCCGAGAGATTCCGGTGCTGCCGGTGCTGGATACTCCGAAGGCGGCGGTTTGTACGCTTTGGGACTTATACACGCTAATCATGGGGCAGCAATCACCGACTATCTTCTGGGTCAATTAAAGGATGCCCAGAATGAAGTACGTATCCATATAAAAAATCCATAAATATTTTTTTCTAATTTTATATGCTTAGTAATTTCATTTTAATATATTTTCTTTTATTAGATATTAAATTTAAATGTTAAATTTCATTATATATTATTATTTATTATTTATTATATATTATATTATTTAAATATTATTAAATTTTATTATAAATCTTAATAAATTAAATACGTTTTTATTATAATTTATTAAGTTAATTATAGAAAGAGGGTAAAATATCTATACAAAATTGAATATATGCAATCCGACAAATGACTTATCTTGGGAAATGCGTTCATTAGATGGTTCGTCACGGTGGCTGCCTAGGCCTTGGATTAGCCGCGATGGGTTCGCATAGACAGGACGTTTACGAGCAACTGAAATTCAATTTGTATCAAGATGACGCTGTGACCGGCGAAGCAGCCGGGATTGCAATGGGCATGGTCATGTTGGGATCCAAATCTACGCAGGCTATCGAAGACATGGTCGCGGTGAGTTTAATACACACTTTACAATTTTTGTTTTATCTATTTTTATTAAAAAAAAAAAAAAAAAAAATACATTTTAGATTATAATAGGAAATAAGTTCCCAGAGTATGCTCTCTTATAAAAGCAAGGCAAAATAAAAGATGGCGTTAAAAGATCAAAAATAGATCTTTCGATTTTTCAGTTTTTTACACCTATTGTGTTATTTTATGTAAAAGAGGTCTTTACCAATTCTTTATCAATTGGTTAATTGAGTAATCTGAAGAAAATACAGGATAAATCAGTCAAATAACATATTTAGGAGATATTTAGAAGGTATTTTAAGAAATTATATTCAATAGACTAGAAATATGCACAAAAAAGTGTAGATGCGCCTAAGTGCAGCATAATAGCATTAATTATTGTCCGACTGAAAATGATAAAAGCGATAATGCATTATTATAATTATTATATTACAATTAGTCAATTTACACGAAAGTGTCTGTGGGTGAGACGCCCAATATTTTTAAATATATTACGATGAAAAGAAATTGAAAGAAGAGGTAGAAGGAAGGAAAAAATATGGTCTCGCAAAGCGACAAATATCCATATATAGAAAAATGAGAAGACATTATATAAATTAGTTTGGAGGATGGAGTTCCGCCCACGAATACATTTCCAGTGCGTCTTTGGGATTTATAATATAATATAGGATATTTCAAATAGTATATATAGGGAAGCTCTCGTGTGTGCGCATTTAATCGCCATAATATCGCTGCAAATTGCAGATTAATTAATCTATTGAGTAATGAACGATCTATTGAATAATAAATCGGCGTCGGCGGGTTTTATTATTTATCCATTTTATCGAGTCGATTTCCGGTTATTCTTCGCTTTGGAATAAAAATCCGATCTCTGGAAATTAAATTTAATTAATAATATGCATATATATAAATTATAATATTATTATAATATTAATTATAATATTAATATTCTTATTATATAAAATTCTTAAAGTTATATAAATTTATTTTTTTTTTTTTTTATATTTTTGAGATTCTTAAATAATTCTTATATATAATTTCTTCTAGGATTTAAGATGTGTATATGGATATAATTATATCTTTAATTTCTAGAAGGAATTATATATAAGAATTATTTAAGGATTTTAAAAATATATAAAAAAATTAATTTAAAACTTTAAGAACTTTGACGATATTTTTGAAAGTTTGAAAATTAAAAAGAAGAACTATAACGATTATACATTAATATCGATTCGGTCGAGAATTTCAAGACAATTAGTACTAATAGAGATTCTACTATCTACGTCTTGGATTTGTAAACAAGAGCCTCTCTCGCAATCTCTTCATCGCGAGTAATCAATCGAGTGGAATAATCAGAATTCCAAGAACTGTTCTTCGCACTATCGAAGTCGTCGGTAAATAACTGTTTCGCTCGTCCACCGGATTACATTTCTAAAGAAAAATATGTATCATTTAATTATTCATCCGTTCACAATAATTACATATATATATATATATATGACATTTTCTTCTTGCGTAGGTATTTCGGTCATACTCGCCGGGAATATAAATAGAAAGTAGCTGGGGCTGATGCTCGTAGTTTTTCATCGAATTCAGCCTTGCTCGTGTCGACTATGTTTGCCGTCTCTCATCCTCGACAGAAATCGCGTAGTTTCGCATCCGCCGCGAGGGATGTCAATAGAGAAGGATACACTTCACGAGGGGCGAAAGTAGTCGCATCAATCATCAAAATGTTTCTTCAAGATAGAATGAAAAACGTTATACATATATAATATTACGTATACGCGCAAAATTTGTAAGTATTTTTCTCCGTTGAAATTGCGAAAATACATATATATATATTTTTTTTCACGAAAACACATAATCGAAAAATAATATTCCTCTTTCATGAATATGCAGCTGCAAGCCCAAGAATTATTTGTTCACGAATATGCGACTGCGAAATTCGAGAGTAAATATTTTTTTACGTGTACGTAACGCGATTGCCGGTAAAACAATCTTCGCAATAGATTGAAAATTCTGCTTTTAATATTTCGAATCTTTCTTTTATAGTCTGTCGAATTGGTTTCCGTTCGATAGTATGACTGATAATAATTAATGATGTCGACGATATCGAAACATTTTATATTAGTGCGTGAATCGAGAAGAGAGATTAATTAAAAAAAAAAAAAGATTGAAGAAAATGATTACGATCTATAATCACAACTTACAACTTGTCGATAAGCTTGATAACAGTTGATAAATAAAATCATCAAGTATTTTGATAAAATGATTATTTTTCGAAGTGATAATGCTGGTGAAATAATGATAATGCAATTGTGAGAAACACGACAAATGTCGGATAATTTATTTGAATAATATGAAGAGAATTGATTAGAGTGTTTGTGACAAAGTTTATTTTTGACATCATAGAAATATTTACGAGAGGTGGCTATAAAACGATAACGTTGATCGTCATCCGAGTGCAAAGGGTGATGATTCGCGGGTCTGTAGAGTGTACGATCCTTGTGCCCTGAAAATAATGAAACAAACGATAATGAAATTAACGTCTCGGTCAATTTGCATGAAAAAAATATGCGAGTTTCCGCGGCCTTCGATATTTCTCGGTACATCGATGGAAAGAAACAAAATAGAGAAACAGGGATAAAAGAGGAAAAAATGATGCATCGTATCTCAGGAAGAAATAATTATATTGAAGCATTCATATTGAAGGAGAAAAAGAAGAAGAAAAACACTTCTTTTTCACAGAAAACGAGAACGATTTTTTTTTATGAAATAAAGAAGAAGAAATTTGAATAGCTTGCATTGAAATGACACTTTGTTTTTTATTCTGAGTTTTTGTATACGCGTATAATTTAAATTGCATTAAAAAATGATTTTTTCTTCAAAGAAGAAGAAAGCAATTTTTTTTTATTAAATAAAGAAGATAAGATTCTTTGGTTTTTTATTTCATGAATTTTTTTATCGTATATGTAACTTAAATTTAAAATTTTTTGTAACTTAAATTTAAAAAGAAGAAATTTAAATAGCTTTGAATGGCAATAATGTTTTTTTTTATTTTATGAATTTTTATTGTATGAGTAACTTAAATTGTATTTAAGAAAAAGAAAACAATTTTTTATCGTATGTGTAACTTAAATTATTATTTAAAAAAGATGAAAATAAATTTAAAGAAGAAGAAAACAATTCTTTATAAAAAGGAAGAAATTTGAATAGGTTGCATTTGAATAGCATTAATGTTTCTTATTTCATTAATTTTTTATTGCATGAATATATAACTTAAATTGTACTTAAGAAAAAGAAAATGATCTCTTCTTTAAAGAAGAAGAAAACGATTTTTTTCTTATAAAATAAGGAAAAATATAAATCTCTTGCACTTGAATGATAGCTTTGTTTTTTTATTTCATAAGTTTTTTTTATTGTATGTGTAACTTAAATTATATTTAAAAAGATGAAAATGATTTCTTTTTCAAAAACGAAGAAAACGATTCTTTTCTCTATAAAAAGAAAGAAATTCGAATAGAGCATTATTTATTTGATGGTATTAATATTTGTATTTCATACTTTTTTTAAAGTATATAAGTAACTTAAATTGTATTTGAGAAAAAGAAAACGATCTCTTCTTCAAAGAAGAAGAAAACGATTTTTTTCTTATAAAATAAGGCGAAATATGAATATTTTACACTTGAATGGTATCTTTTTTTATTTCCCGAATTTTTAATCATGTAACTTAAATTATACTTACTTTGAATCCAACTTGGGTCCGCCCATGAATACTTCGCCGGCGCGGAAACCTGTTGGGTTCATGATAGATTCGGCGTAATATTCATAAGCGCGCGAGTGCGCGCACCCTGGCACTGCAAATCAATTCGGTTGCGTTAACTAATGAGCCAACAAGCGATATTGACTTCGGCTATCAGGTTGTATTTACCGATTACGCTGCATCCCGGCTGCTTGTTACCGCCGTTCGGATAAAAATCGGCGTCGCCGATCGGTTTCGTGATACCGATGGAACTCGTGTGGATCACCTGCACGAAATCCGCGTCCGTTTTGTCCACCCTTTCGCCTGGTCCTTTCGAATTGTACATAGGTTTCGCGGGATCTAGAGCTGCAGATCGAGAATCGATATTGAAATGATTAAAGAAAAAATTTTTCGAACATTTTAAGATAATTAAAGAAGATTTTAAGACAAAGAAAAGCTCGAGTTTTTTTTTAATTTATCCTTTGAAGAAAAATTTTTTGAGGTCTTTTTGTAATTTTTTTATTATTGAATATATGAGAAAACTTTCGATTTTTTATATTATGTATTATATTATTTTTCATATATTATTTTATATCATTATTGCAGGATGTATCTAAATAAGTGAAAAATTTTAGGAAATAATTTTTTGTCAAAAATTAAGGGGGATTTCTTATATAAACTGTGTTTTCTTAAATTTCAGATAAATTAAAATAATGAAATTTGGTGGATATTTTCCACTAAAAATGGATATTTATTAATACCTATTTAAAAAAATATAAACTTTATTTTTACCTCCCTCTTTAGAAAAGTGTAACATCTCCAAGAGAGATATATGTTTATATATGAAGTCTCCCCTAATTTTCGACAAAGAATTATCTTCTAAAATGTTTCGCACTTATTTAGATATACATGTCACATTTACATTATGACAATAATAATATATTATTTATTATATCTTATATTATTATATTATTATTATTATATATTATATCAAATACAAATATCTACGTTTTTATTTAATATATTATTGTATAGATATTATACACATTATATATTTTCCTTTATATAATATTATTATATAAGAAAAAATATAACGAAGAGAAAATTAGAGAAATAAAATTAAACTATGAAGAATAATAATATATAATAATATATAATAAAAATATTATATATTATTATTCTATATTATTATATATATTATATATATATTATATTATATATTATTATATTATTATTATATATATTATATATATTATTATATTATTATATATTATTATTATTATATATTATATTATTATTATATATTATATATTATTATTATTATATATTATTATATATTATTATATTATTATGTATTATTATTCTTTATGGTTTAATTTTAATTCTCTTCATTATATTTTATATTTTACGGATTTTACCCATCACTTCGGCGATATTGCTATCGATGGCACGTGCGGCAAGACCGACAATATGTCCACCCAAAGAATGTCCTGTTAGCCTAGTTCTCTTGGTATCGAGACCTGCATTCTTCACCAGGAAATTGATGAACCGAGTCAGATGTTCCGCCACGAGCGGTACGCTTTTCACGACTTTCCAGTATAAAAGATTTCCCGCCGCGGTTCGCCAGTCAGCCAGGATGACGTTGTAGTCGCCGGTGCTGAGATAAGCTGGAGGGATATTAAACGAGGAATATGGCAATAAAATAGAAATTAGTCGCGCCGAGATTCGGGAAGCTACGCTAAAAGCATTCATGGAATTCAGGGGTTCGGAAATTTAAATTAAATTTGAGAATGTTGGGAAAGAATTTCAAGACTCAGGAAATTAAAGATAAAAAAGAGGGAAAAAAGAGCGGAGAGCAAGAAGGAGTATATATTAAAGATTCAGAGACTTTAAGGGGAATTAAATTTGAGAAGTTGAGATATTCAGGAATATTTAAAGATAAAGTAAAAAGAGAGAAACGGAGAGAGATCAGGCTTGTATTAAAGAATCAGAGAGGCAAGGATTCAAGCACTCGAGCAATAAAGATTAATTGCGACATCCTACCGTCTCGAATCAAGGTGCAAGAGGATCCAGGATCCGTATCTCCTCGCCATCCGTGAGTGACGATATAAGTGGAACGATGAGGATTCCAAAAACTATTTTTCACGCTTTCTATATCGTCGATAAATAATTGCTGTCCAATTTTCCGATTGTTTCTAAAGACAAGTGTTCGATATATACAATATGTGCGGGTTAGAATATTTTTAATGTATTATTATATATATATACGTTATTTATATTTACTGAGTGTACAGAAAGAAGGAAGTCTCGCGAGCAGATTGCTCGATCTTTGTGAGTTCGAAGAGCGTATAATATGCAGGCTCGCTGATATCGATCAAGAACGATATTCCATGATCATCGGCGAAAAACGTATAATTCGGATTCGTATCATTCATCACAATGGACGCTAATAAAGTAGGAACTGTAATCAAGCGGCGCTGATTGATTAAACATATTTTTCCAAGATAGAGAATTAAATGCACACAGATTTAGGCAAAGTCTAATAATATATATATTTCTTTTTCTTTGGATAAATTATTTTAGTATTTAATTCCATGTTTTCCAAGATATACACATTTATGCGAAGTCCAGTAATATATATTTTTTTATAAAAATTTATATATATATATTTTTATAAAAAATATATATATATATATAAAGGATATTAGATTATTTATATATTTTTATAAAAAAAAATATAAATAAAAAAAGAAAGGGATGTATATATATATATATACATACATTTATTTATTTATTAAATTTTTTTATAAAATATAAATAATATAATATCATTTATATATATATATTTTTATATATATATATATATAATTTAAGTACAGCTACTAAATAAAATATATATGTATATATTAAAAATATATATATAAATATATATATATATATATATATATATATATATATAATTTAAAATGCAGCTGCGAATTTAAGGATGTTTTTATCGCGGATATATCGGTTTGCGAGGTGAAAGACTGATCTCTTCTCACCGAATAAACAATTGTATCTTTAAAAATAATTTTTTTTTATACGAGTACGTTTACGTAAGTTCGAAAAACAATATTTTGCCCTGCTTCGAGAATATACAACCGTGAAATTAAGTAACAATATTCGTTTCACGCACACAATGCGATCGCCGGAACAGCCATCTTCGTGATAATTTTACGTGATTTTTTTCTTCGAAGATATCAACTTTCGACATTAATAACATTTCTTTTATAGTCTAGATATAGGTCAGATATCACGCGATTGATATCCAATGCGATCGATAAGCGCCAATGATATCAATTATTAGACGCAATTAATTTAGTTTAGCTCGGATGGAATTAATCGATCGTTTTGCTATACGTAATACACCTTGACACTTTTATATCTAAATCGAATGTATACATTAAATATACTAAATGTACGTGATTTGAAGCGCTATTTATATTTAAACACGTCGATACTGACTTAGTGTATACATTCGATCTAGACATAAAAGTATCTATGATGACATTTGAACGGTTTTTATTTATTTTATTTTTTGAATGTTAGTTTATGTTGATAATCCTGATAATAAAATATGAAAGCGAATTTTTCGTTTTTATCTGATTCGTTTGATTATAAATAGTTTTCCAAGTATTTAAATACCGCGAATTTCACGTTTCTCTTTTATTACAGTGTACCTACAAATGTACATTGTAAATATTTTTCTCCATAATTTTTGCATCTCATTCTCTATAATTTTATAATACTGTAGCAGTTTATTATAATTAAAATTTTTCCTAGAAAGAGGATGAGAGAGAATAAAAATATTTTTAGAACCTGTGTCTTTTCAATATCCAGCGGTTCAGCCGCGGTTCTCAATTGTCTCTGAACAAAAAGGAAAAAAATTGGTACGATTCCGATTTTTGCACGCTATTCGCACATTAATTCGCAACTTTTTTTTTTCCATCGGACGTCCGGAGAGACAATGGTCGTGTGTTTTAGCGTCGACGCTCTCCTCGAGGAAAGTAATTTCGAACAAACTTTCGTCGCTGCTGGCCACCAACAAGCTGCGTGCTGCAAAGCAGCAGCAGCAGGTCGATGCTAAACGAATCATAACTTGCCACTAGTCGGTCGGCTTAATCCAATTACCCATTACAGGTTCTCCATAATGTGTCCCGGCGGCTGCGATTAAGTAACGCACGGGCACATCTCGATCTCTCTTGCTCCTGCGAAAAGCAGGAACCGGCGTGCATTAAATTGTAAATCCGCGCAAAATTAAAAGGAAGGACTGATTTAATCTCAGAGACAAATCAGTTTTCTTTCTTGCGAAAATCGAGGGAAAACATTAATTTTGAATAGCATACAGAGCGTCCCAGAATTAGCGGTAAAGATTTGGATCACTTGGAAACCATTTTTTTTTCAGAGGGCGCTGCCGTTCTGTTTTATCGATTTTAATTTAGGTTAGGTTTTTATTGAATATATAGATTGATTTATTCTCTAAAATGAAAGTACTGATAATAATGAATGGAAAGTGCTGTCCGGCAACTATTTTTTTGCTGTTTTATGCTTCAATATCGATTCCGCACGCAACTATACAAGTACTTACATAATTAATTCAAGTACCAATTTTTTGATACAGGCCTTTAACCTCATTTTTATTACTTTTGTATTATTCTTTCATGTCATCTCTATTGAGAGCGTCATATTTTGTGCACCAATAAACTGTAGAACTTCTGTATTAAATAAGTATTATTATGAGCTGATGCAAGAGGCCGATAAATAACTGATTTTTTTAACTTTTATTGTTTTTTATACGAAATTACAGCGCTTCCCATTCATTATTATCAGTACTTTAATTATGGAAAAGGATTTTTCAATTTGTATAGCCAATAAAAAGAAAAGCCCTTGAACTCAAAGTCGGTAAAACAGACATGGTCAGCATCCTTTTAAATGATTTTAAAATTAGCTATAGATAATAAAGATGAGTTAAAAATGGGTAATCTTAGATAAGATGAAGATGATTTCGTTTTAAATATGTCTAGATAAAAGATGAAATTTATTTAGATAACTTTCAGATATTATTTTGAAGATAAAAATATATTTATACTTTTATTTATAAGTTTTTATCGCTTATTATACTGTAAAAAACATGTAATATATAACATAAAAATATGTAAAATTATATAAATACTAAGTGTAATTTTACATATTTTTTACAGTGTCCTTAAGTTCTATATTACTTAAATATTTTTCTATGCTATGACTAAATCAAATTATCTGAACATTCTAGATAATTTAATAAAGATGACACTTTTTTTATCTAAGATATGCAGATATAGAAAATACATATTTTTATTATCTATATAAAGATAAGATACTGCCAAAATTTTATCTAGATAATCATTTATATAATTTTACCTAGATAACAGCAAATACTGGTTAGCGATTGAAAATAAAAGATTTTCTGCAATCTAAATCTTGTGGAGATAAAATATTAACGAAATCACATTCTTCAGTTAATTTCAGGTAGAGTTTACTTTAATAGAATTTTAATGTAAGGTTTAGTTACAAAACTACATGATGGCAAGAATTGGGAACATGTAAAAAAAGATGGCCTTTCTCAACATTTTTGCGGAGGAAAAATCGTCTCCAAATGACACCAGGAATCTGCCATTTAAAACTTTTTCGCCAGTTCCAAAACATTCTGTATAAAGTATACACTATTGTATTCGGATACCAATCATGTATTTGCGACACATTGCACTGCGACAATTTCTTTATAGCTGTTGAGCAGATCAAACATTCTTTCCCGTTTTATTTTAAAGGGTTTCCGACTACAAAAGCCCTTTATATTTCGTTTCGAACGGGAGAAAAGTTCCGACAAACATTTTCAAGTATCTTCGGGTAGCCGTTCATTTAATGGAAGGATTATAAACGAAGTCATTTTTTGCTCAAAGATTTTTATCGCATGTTTGTTAATTAGAAACTTTAATCGCGTATTTAATATTTAAAGCGCCGCATAATTTGCAATGTTTATGCATGTAACCGGCGCATGTTTTATCTCTGTTATCTCGCGAAAAGAAGATATATACTATTATGTCTTCTTGCGCGAAAGGGACGAACTCCCGCAATTTCGCAAATTCTCAATTTTTCGATCTTTTCAGTACGCCCAAGAGACGCAGCACGAGAAGATCCTACGTGGCCTGGCGGTCGGCATCGCCTTCACGATGTACGGTCGCCTCGAGGAGGCCGATCCCCTGGTGACATCCTTATGCGCCGACAAGGACCCGATCCTGCGCAGGAGTGGGATGTACACCCTGGCGATGGCGTACTGCGGCACCGGAAACAACCAGGCCATCCGGAAGCTCCTGCACGTTGCTGTGAGTGTTGATCCACGTACACCTCGTAGATATTCTTATCGTTGTTATTTCGCGAGTGTTTTTACTCGACTCCTTCTCGTTTTTCGTCTATTTTCGTAGCTTCTCATATTTTTCCGGTCTTCCCTTTATTATCCTTTTATTATTTTTATTTTCTTATATATTTTGTATATTTTTTTTTATCTTTCTTTTATTACTCTTTTATTATCATTATTTTTATAATTTTTTAAATTCTTTTTATTATTTTTTATAATTTTATTTTTGCGATTTCAGTATTCCATGTATTGTAGTTTGATTTTTTATTACAATATTTAAAGCGTAAATTATAAACATATTTATTATCTTTTATTATTTTTATTTTCTTATATGTTTTTTATATTTTTATATTTTTTCCGATCTTTCTTTTATTATGCTTTATCATTATTAGGTACTTATAATCTTTTATTCTTTTATTTTATTTTATTTTTTTTATTATTTCTTATAGCTTTATTTTTGCGATTTCATTATCCCATGTGGTTTGATTTTTTTATTACAATATTTCAAGCGTAAGCATAAGCTAAATATGCAAACACGTTTTTAAAATTTAGAAGTAAAGCGTATTGGGCGTATTATTATTTTTAAAAGAGGAATTCATAAAAAATTAAACTAAGTTATTTATAGAGGGCGGACAAAATAAAGCGTTACGAATTTTTAACTCCAAAAATATATTATTTCCAGAGAAAAATATTTCAAATAAAAATTGTAGGATTTCTAAAAATTGTTTTGATCATTCTACCTTTATAACTTTTTATGCAGAATTTTACAAGGCATCGATTTATATGTAAAAAAAAATGCTTTTATTTAAATTAACAAATAACCTTCAAATCTTGATCTTTGAAATCGCCCTTCATAGGAAAAAGTCAGTGGCGCCAATTTCTTTCCCCTCGAAATCCTACAACTTTTATTAGAAATAAATTATTCTGAAACAATATTTTTGGAGATAAAAATTCGTAACGATTTATTTGGTCTACCCTGTATAAATAAGAATATTATCCTTCTGATTTTTTTATTTATCGATTTAATTTGTGAAATAAGAAGAGGTCTTATAAATTGGTCTCAAAAATTCAAGCGAGAAGGGGGATTAATTTTCTCATTGATTATTATATATATATATATATATATATATAATATTTTATATATTGATTATATATATATATATATATATATATATATCATATATCATATATCATATATGTATATATATTATATATATGTATATATACATATATATATATATATATATATATATATATATATATATATATGTATATATAATCAATATATAAATATTATATATATATATATATATATATATATTTATATATATATAATATATTATATATTTTGTTCTTTTTATTTCAACAGGTCTCAGATGTTAACGATGACGTTCGACGAGCCGCGGTTACCGGTCTGGGCTTCCTACTATTCCGGTGAGTACCTTTGTAAAGTTACCCAATTCCACAAAGTGGATTCAACGAAACCGAAGAATGCGGAAATTCCGCGCGTTTGTGGACTCGCGGCTTTCGATCCTTTCAAAGCCGCGCCGGTATTCTGAAATCATATTTAAGCGTACTCCAAGCATACTAACTTGCTCCAAAGCTCAAAGGTAATCCGCGAGATAGCTTCGACCTTTTTTTTCGCTAGATTTTTTTCCCGATAAGAAGAAAAGGGAAAACCGCGCTTTCTTGAACCTTTCTGTCAATACGCTATTTTTTTCTGATAAATCAATACGTAGAATAATAAAATAAAATTAATTAAATTGAAAACAGAGCGCAAAAATCAAGTAACGAGACATACAAAATTCTTTAAAAATTTCCCGACAGCAGCATATGCGGGTAAAAAATATATAAAAGGTCCTTTGTATTTTATTTCGGACGCAGAAAAGTTCCGACACATTTCTAACATTTAAAGTTGCTTCGGTTACCCGGGGGATCCGTTTACCAAAAAAGGGTTAAATGTTAAAAGTGTGTTAAACTTTTCTTCGCCCGAAACGAAATACAAAAGGCCTTTGTATTCGGAATCCTCTTAAAATGTAATGGAAATAATACTCGATGCCCAGTAGTTGCTATAAATAATATAAAAAAAATTGTCGCAATGCAATATATGAAAAAAACACGCGACCTGGGTACTCATACATAGATTGAAAGGATAAAAAATGTTTTTCGTTGACAGAAGGATTAAATAACACCGATCAAACCTTGAATGTAGAAAAAAAAATTAATCGATATCAAACATATATCGAATTTACATGCGCGTTTTGCGCGCAAAGAAATGGAAATTTTTTTTTTATTAACATTGATTGAATATTGTGAACGCGCGGAAAAAGAATCCATTTATTGGATTATTAATTTATTACGGCGCGCTCGACGCGCGAAGAATTCAAAATATTTATCCTGCTGTAGTAACACATCGATCGAATATTAATTTATCGCACTTTATGCGTACTAATTCATCACCTTAAAATAATATCGAGTAAATTGCTTCGCTCTTTTTGCTACGCGTTTTTCAGCAAGGGGGAAAAACCTACAACGTTAATTCTTCTTCAAATAAAATTGAAAAGCCGTGAAGAAACGCGTTACACGAACGAATATTAATCTAATTTAATTAATTTAATTTAATCGATGATCGAATATTAATTCGTCGATGCGAAAAATTTAAAAACTACTGATGCTCTTCACTCTCCATTTTAATTACATCGATCGAACATTAATCGGGACAAAAGAACCAGTCGATCGGATAGTAATTTATCAGTATGTTATTATATTAAAACAAGTATTAGTGATTAAACACTCGAGAAGGACGCGTGTCGAGTGGACTGTCGAAAATGTTTTGGGTATTGATGCGAGTGCAATTTGCACTAATGTACATACAATGGATTCGATCTTGTTATTTTATCGCTGATATTTCGAGATGTTTCATGCGATAAGGTTGGGACGAGAGAGAGAGAGAGAGAGAGAGATAAGCGGGCGAGTAAAATGAATGAAAAGTAAATGAATAGAACGTACCGTCTTATTTCTCTTATTGTTAGAGATAAATGGCGCGAGATATTGTTGTTTGCACGCAACTCCTGACAACATAGAATTTCGTGATAACGGGCATCCGTTAGTAAATTATTTCGTCATCTAAAGCGTGTCCGTAATCGCTGTTGATTACACACTTTTAATTATAGGCAATTTCGAAGCTACTTTTTGCCTCTTTGCGATGCATCTTTTCAATTTACATTTTATGTGTTTTTGTCAGAAAATTTTTTCAATTTTTTCATTTGCCAATTTTGTTGGCATTCTATTTTTAATTTAATTAATTTTATTATTGTATTTATTAGAAGAAAATTATGTATGTATATATACATATATTTATTATTTTTTTTTAATACATATATACAATAATAAAATTAATTAAGGATATATATTTTTTCCTCTTTGCGATACACCTTTTCAATTTACATATGTATTTTATACATAGAAAATTTTTAAAGAACTTGCCAATTTTGTTGGCATTCTATTTTTAATTTATTTAATCTTATTTTATTATTATATTTATTTATTAGAAGAAACTATATAATACATACATTTATTAAAAAAAATTAATATTAAATATATATATATATATATATATTATTTTTTAAATATATATGTATTTATACATATATTTATTATTTTTTAAATACAATAATAAAATTAATTAAGATATATAAGATATAGATATATGTATACATATCTATTTATTTGATTATATTTAAATATTTAAATGAGGAAGAGAAAGAAAAGAAAATTACTTCAACGTTTTCGAGAAAAATTGGTTTAAAATTTTGTTGCGACAGAATATCTATTTTCGGAACACGCTTCCCTCGAGTATCGGTTGTAAATTATTCTTCAAGAGTGGCTCGTTTACACTAAACCGTGAAGACACGCGCAGCCTGACAATGCGAAAACGGCATGGGTAAACGAACGAGTTTAAACAGTTGTTGGCGATCGACCGGGCTGATTTGCAATTGTTAACATGAAACAACAAATACCGGAGTCTCATATATCGCAACACGGGCGCGTAAATTTGTCTTTTGCATAGCTATTTCCGACCGCGCAATCCACTCTTGCTATATCTGTTTAAATTCTCCGCTTAATTCTCCGCGCGTAGAAACGAAAATTTTGGCCCTTCACTTTCGCCTTTACTTTTGTTTTCCCTTTCTCTCGAGAAAATATTTATTCTTTCGAAATGTCGAAAAATCTCACCGACGCGAGTTCGGGAAGAATCGAAAATTTATTTTAAGGGGATGCTGACCATGTCTGTTTTACCGACTTTGAGTTCAAGGGCTTTTCTTTTTATTGGCTATACATATGGAAAAATCTTTCTCCACAATTAAAGTACTGATAATAATTAACGGGGAGCGCTGTAATTTTGTATAAAAAAAAAACAAAAGTTAAAAAATTAAGATTTTTTATCGGCTTCTTGCATCAGCTCATAACTTATTTAATACAAAAGTTCTGTGGTTTATTTGTGCACAAAATATGGCGCTCCCAATAGATATGACATGACAGAAAATACAGAAATAATAAAAATGAGATTAAAGGCTTGTATCAAAAGATTCGTACTTGGATTAATTATGCATGTATACTCGTATTTGCATGCGGAATCGATGACAGCGCTCTTCATTTATTATTATCAGTACTTTCATTGTGAAGGATTTTTCAATCCATATATTCAATAAAAAGGGAACCTAATCTAACTTAAAGGGTGCTGACCATGACTGTTTTACCGACTTTGAGTTTAAAGGCTTTTCTTTTTATTAGCTATACATATTAAAAAATTCTTCTCCACAATTAAAGTATTGATAATAATGAACGAGGAGCGTTGTAATTTCGTATTAAAAGAACAATAAAAGTTAAAAAATTACAGTTTTGTATCGGCCTCTTGCATCAGCTCGTAACAATACTTATTTAATACAAAAGTTCTGCAATTTATTTGTGCACAAAATATGGCGTTTCTAATAGAGATGACATGAAAGAATAATACAGAAGTAATAAAAATTTTCAATCTGTATGTTCAATAAAATGTGAATCTAACCTAATTTAAAGTCGATAAAACAGAACAACGGCAACATCCCCTTAAACGCTCGCTTAATTCTTCGCGCGCAAAAACAAAAATTTCGCGCCGTCACTTTCGTCTCTGCTTTTGTTTTTCTTTCCTCCCGGGAAAATATTTACTCTCCCGAAATGTCGAAAAATCTCGCCGATGCGAGTTCGGGAAGAATCGAAAATTCATTTTAGGAGTCAAACTGGATTTCCGTAGCTCCCCCTAGATGAGAACAAAATTGTCTGTGCTTGCAAATTGTGTAGTCTTTCAGATTTCGCGGGTCAAAGGATAGATATAAAAGATGCCTCCGTATTTCCGTCAACGTAAAGCGGAGGAGGAGTCGAGGCAGGAAATGAGTGAGAGACTCTGCGGATGAAGGATCGCGAAGTGCGCGAGAATCTGGGACACCGTGCATATATATATATATATATATATATATATATATATATATATATGTATAGATGTAGATGTAGATGATGCCTGTTCGACTCTGTTTGCTTTATCCGGGTGCACCTTTCCATATTAATTTTGAATGACGCGATGCGTTTTTCTTTCTCCTTTATTGCTCCCTTTTATGCGTTTTCCATATTTCCCCTTCTTTTTCTTTTTTTTCGAGAGATCCTTCCCATTACCCTTTCTCTCGCAAGTACGAATGAATAGAAGCCGACCTATTGAATAAGTTATATGCAATATTGCAAACTGCACCGCGCGCTCCATTTCTTCGCATTCAAATTGCAATTTCAGAAAGCTCGGGTTCTCGTAAGTGGACACTTGGTAACTTGGATGTGAGACTGTAGCTTTACCCTCCGGTGAATATAAAAGGTTTATAATCTCTCTTTGTTTCTTCTTCCATGAATAAGAAATCTCGTGTTACTATTGTAAATGAAATGTTATGTCTACCAAATGTTTATATTCCGCGTTATTATTATTATCGGTGTTACGAAAATATTATATTGTAGTTTTTTCTTTTTTTTTTACGGGAAAGAGAGGATTGACGATAAAATAAAATACATGGGAAATTTTGCAAATTAGATGAAAGTACATTTGTTATAGTCATTGTGCGAATTCTTTTGTTCTTGTGACTTTGTATTTCATTCGGGGATTTAATTTAATTCATTCGTGGAATTCAATTTATATTTTTCGGGCATTTTTGCCCTCAAAAATTATCAAGCACTCTTGTAATGAACGATGATAATTAGAAAATATTACAAATTCCTGCTTTATGTCACTATATATTTATAATTTAGCAGGAACAAATTTCAAACTATGTCAATTCAGAAATTAGATTTCTAATTAATTTTCGAATGTTAATTCAGAAATTATATTTATCAAAAGTTTTATATTTCATTTAAATCTTACA